GTGCGGGGGCTCTCGGTGGCTGCTGAGCCTCGCCAGCCTTATGTTCAGCTTGTCACAGAGCAGGATCCCGTTCTGCTAGACATAAGCACGGAGCAGAACGACGTCCTTTTCCCCGCAGAGCTCAGTTCAAACGCCAAGAGGGGCGTTTTGAGCCTTCGTGTTTCTCCTGGCAGGTATTACGCGGACATTGCCAAGCTCCCGGCCATCAGCGACCAGGACATGAACGCCTACCTCGCCGAGCAGTCGCGCCTGCACTCCGCCGAGTTCAACATGCTGAGCGCGCTCAACGAGATCTACTCCTATGTCAGCAAGTACAGCGAAGAGGTGGGTGTCCCCAGGGCGGGCAGAGAGGCGATGCCACCGCACGGCACGCGCGGAATGGGAGAGGAGCCACCCTTGCTGCCACCCAGAGCTCCTTCCTCCTCCCTCCTCCTCAGTGCAGCACCGCCGTAGCTCGCTCTGCTCCTGCCCCACTCCGTTCTGTTCACACACAAATCGGTTCAGGTCCTGGCTGTGCCAGTAGTGTAGTTCCCAGGAGGAAGGAGAGCTAAAATATTGTGGGAGCAACTGGATTCCTCTGCCTTGGCGTGTGCCCAGCGCTGCCCACTCCTCCATGCAGTGGAAAATCATCCTGACCCAGTGAAGCTCCCCAGAAACATCCACTGTCTTTTGGGAACGGCGTGGTACAAATCCCACGTTGCGGTGACGCAGACTCCTGTTTGCAAAGAATCCCTGGCAGCGGGAGCTCCTTTAATGAATGCATCACTTGCAACCAAGTTCTTGCCATCTGTTCCACCCCTTCATTTCGGTGTAAGAAGAACCTATTTTCTAATTATGTCCATTAAAAGGAAGGGATTTGTCATTTAATTGCATGTATGCACTTGTGATACAATGCCACAGCTATTTTCCGATCAGGCTTTAAAATCTCATCACTTTCAGGCTAAATGAGACAAGATGTGGAGTCCCAAGCTCCAGAGTGGGAATGAGCGTGTCGTGCGGGGAACGTGCGCCGAGCGGCTC